CGACCTGTTACGTTACTCAAGAGATCCCAATCTTGACCGATATACCAACACTTTTATCTGGCCTACATGCTGATGGGGTCAGCTTGACCCAGCCCACCTTCACCCAACTATCTCCGCCGTACCTCGACCTGCCGGAGGTCACGGTGACCCAGCACCGCTTTGAATCAGAACACGACCCGTGCACCAACCTACATTTCTAGAACATTCACACCAAATGAATAGTTTCAATGTCTGTTCAAGAAAAGAAAAGAAATTCCTGGTTTAAAAAAAAAGTAACCGTAGACATGACCCACCTCTTTAACGTAGCAATTATGAAATTAGGGCCTGAAATACGAGTTGGTATCACTGAAAGGAGCAGGTACTAGGGTATAATCAAGACAGACAGACGCAAGGAGCAGGCATCAAGCTATAATCACCGCACAGACAGAATATCACAGACAGACAAAATATATAGCTACATAATAGATACAGCGAACAGACATACCTACCAGACCGACACATCACACAAGGGACACACAAAAGATATAACTACAAAACACAAACAGACAAACTGGACAGACACATTACAAAAGGGACGGACACACAATGTATAACCACCGAACAGACAGACACAACACAAAAGAGACGGACACAAATATTTACAACTACCGAACAGACAGACACAATCAACAGACAGACACAATCAACAGACAGACACATCACATTATCTACGTCCAGACAGACAGAACACAAAAGAGACGGAGACAAATATTAAAAATATGTACAACTACCGGACAGACAGACACCGACATTAAAACACGCAGCGGGTAAAAAATGGAACAATATATCCGAGTGCAAACAGGGACGCACTTTCCAATTGATCCGTCTGGGTTAAGTCTAAGGGATATGTCAGGAAATTTCATATACTTAAATAATAAATATACGACACCCGTTTCCTTAAAAAAAATGTAATACTTATTTATCACTGAACTATAAAAATGATGGCCTAGTTCTGGCTGAACTATAAAACGGATGGCCTAGTTCTGACTGAATTATAAAAGGATGGCCTAGTTCTGGCTGAATTATAAAAGGGTGGCCTAGTTCTGACTAAACTATAAAAGGATGGCCTAGTTCTGACTGAACTATAAAACGGATGGCCTAGTTCTGACTGAATTATAAAAGGATGGCCTAGTTCTGACTGAATTATAAAAGGATGGCCTAGTTCTGCCTGAATTATAAAATGGATGGCCTAGTTCTGACTGATAAAACGGATGGCCTAGTTCTGACTGAACTATAAAAAAGAAGGTCTGTGAATAAAACACAAAAAGCACGGCCTAGTTCTGCCTGCAATAAAATGTTCAAGAATGACCTAAGTCTGCCGGAAACAGGACAACTCTGGATGTATTGAGCGATGACATCGACATTTTCCTCCATGCTTGAGCCGACAAAAATACCCGCCAATCATTCTTACTTGCAGGGTATTTAGTAGTTATTTGTGGGTTTGTCAACGATTTTTTTTCGCGGCCAAAAATTTTAAAGTGCTTAAACTGGTAGGCGGGTTGAGTAGGTTGTCAATAGTTGACACGTGCACTGACCCGTTAGGAGGCTAAATCGAAAATTGGTGATTAAATTTAAAAATAACATGAACCCGATTAGCCAGAATTTAGAGGATCAAATGGTTCTCAAAGTTAGGTTCTAGAATACAAGAACCGTTGAAACCAAAAAGCAGACACCAGAACTCCCTGAAACCAATACTTCACAATTTAAGAAGCACTGACAGCAAAATAACGGAAACCAGAATTATATGCACATTTTACTACATAATTTAAGAACCACTAACACCAAAAAAAAAAAAAAAAAAAAAAAAAAAATTATATGCAATTTATTATGAAGTTTAAGAACCAATGACAGAAAAAAAAGACTCCTTAGAATTCTCAGCACCCCCACCATAGGCCTACGTACCAAAACTGAACCACAACGCCAGATTTTTAAAACTTATTCAACAAAATCTCGCGCGACTGTCTTAGCAAAAATCAGGTTGGTCTAAGTTAATAGAATTTTAAAAAACAAACGGCGACACTAAGTCTAAACCCAGAGGCGTAGCAAGGGTGGGGGGGGGGGGCGCGGACCGCACCGGGTGACACCATTTAGGGGGGTGACACCAAGGCAAAAAATATAAAAAAATATAGAAAAAAATTAGAAGGGGGGGGGTGTGCAAATCGAAAATTTGAAAGTTTGTCCCCGGGAAGGGTCGCTACGCCTCTTGGGGGGGGGGGGGGGGGTAACACCATTAAGTGCCGCACCGGGTGACACTCGACCTCGCTTCGCCACTGTCTAAACCCCATTACCACTGACCTCAAACTGACGAGAATTTCACCCGATGACCATTGACCCCTTCCTATTGCATTAGAAACACATCTGGAAATATAACTACGGTGTCGTGGCCAGTGTACAGACCATATGTCTAATTTTTCGTTCATGAGAATCAAATCAAGGTAGAAATACATTTAGTTTTTGGAATCCACACGTTTGGAAATGGAGTGTAAAATGTAGTAAAACATGTCGGATAGTGTATATGTTTTTTTGAAAACCTCCAGCATTCAGTGCATATTCAATTTAAATAAAAGAATACTTCTAAGACAAAACAACTTTGCAATGTGTGGAAAATCCCACCCATTATATTAGCATATTAATTACATTTTGAAGAAAAAAAAACCACCACTAAAATACAGGCTAGCGTTGCCTTTATTACTAATTAAAATAATTCTAATTGTGACAGAAGCGAGGAAGGTATGCAAATGACGACATGTCCTATGAGTCACACCAAAAGACACAGTTTCAAATACCCACGAAACGTAAGACCGAGCCAGGTCATTGCCCCATTAAGTGAAAATCTTCCCTTCTTTTTAAAAAAAACAAAACAACGTTCATTTTTCAAACCGTTTATTTTTGTATTAAAACCTGAATAAAACCCTGCCAGGCCCTTGACCTCGTCTCATTAAGAAACTAGGTCACGGAGCTGCCGATCGCCTCCAGCCCGCCAATCACGGCCGGACAGTCGGCGGGTGCTGAGTCAGCAGGAATGGTGCCATTAAAGGGGTGGGTTCTGGTACGACGGATTTTTCTAGAACCGCCGGGAGACAACGGGCCATTAGTGGAGCTTTGACACATCGCTGGATTATGGCACGACCCCCCCCCCCCCCACGGAACACCACACTACCTGTCACGGGCCATTAGACAAAAGTCGCCTGGGGATTATGACAGAACCCCCCCCCCCCACTAGCAAAACCAGGTAGAAATTATGTAGATCAGGTCATGTCAGGTAGATGAAACTATGACACGACAGAGACACTTGTTCGCACCGTGACGTCATTATGTGGGGCACACAAACGTGACATCAGGTTCTAGTGGAACATACAACGTGACATTGGGTTTCAAGTGGAACAACGTGTAAGAAATAATGTATCTGCACAACGCATAGGAAATAATTACTTAGGGGGGGTGGGGGGGGGTGGGAGGAGCACGAAACTTGGTTCAACTCTATGTATAATTTAATTTAGACCCGACAGCAAAATAATCATCACGAAGATTTGTTTAGGGTATATAGAATTTTTAAAGAACCTATTCCACCCTGCTATATTGCAATACATTACTTGTTTGCAGATAGTTTAACCACGGGTGGGGGGGGGGGGGTGGTGAATAGAGAAAATGAAATGTATATATTCTCAAATTTTAAGGATTTATTTCGTCGAGTTCGTGTGAGTGAAACCTCGCTGAGTCCACCCAGCTCTGATGTGTACCCAACTCTCGTTAGGAAAAGTAAAGGCAACTAGGTATAGTGCTGACCACAGTATCCCTTCATATGCCTAGTTCACAGAAACATGTGAACTCTACTTCGCCTGCCCCATGGACTTCCAGGTTCCAACAGGGCATTTTACTCAGATTTTGATGACAAGATGATTTGGTTAGAAAACAATTCAATAAAACTCCTCGAGAACAAGACGGAGGGGTACCGGGAAGGGGTCGATAACAAACCCCGAATCACTAGACTACAGCTTTTCATCCTCTTCAACCCACCACTGACTTGCCAAACACCCACAGTTGGAAATATTCCAACCAAACAAATGTGGTCAAACGAGGAAGGGGGGGGGGGGGAAGACCACTCTGACATAAGCATCCAGATGATCTCAGTAATAAAAATATGAATTCAAATAATTATCTAAATTAGCATCGGAGATCTAGCTGATGTGTTAATTTTTTTTTACCACAGGAATGTTAAAATATTAGAACATCAAAGTTCTGAATATATAAACTGCCCTCTCTTCCGTAATGTAACATGTGTTAATCTACTTTCTGTCTACATATGGGAGTTGGTGCATGTTCAACATCTCGCATAGATGGTGTATGTTTAATAGCATTAACCGGATAGATACGACCGTATAGATGTTTAACCACATGAACAATGTATCTATTACAGGAGTGAGTATGTATTGGGTCCACTGGTTTCTAGTAGCTGCACGTGCCTACTACAAGAGGGAGATTAACCAACACCAGCGCGTGCCCAGACGGTGACTGGACAGAGAATGTACTCACGATGGAAGGTTATCGTGTGAATTAATTAACACTATCGCGTGACACACCACTTCTACACAATGTATCAAATCTGCTACAGGAGTCATATTTGTATCAAATCTGCTACAGGAGTCATATGTGTATCAATATTGCTACAGGAGTCATATTTTTAATCCATATAAGGTATCGTGTGAATTGTAAGCGGGTACCGGGCTTTTTTTTTAGTGGTTCAAGTGTTAATACCTTAAATAATGTTCGATGAGGTGTCACCCCTTCCCTTAGAATGGAGTCACCCGGTGCGTACCGCTTCCCAAGCCCCCAACATGTCGCTTTTAGGCCCTATAACTCTAAATAAAAATAAACGCAGTATTCTATAGGTGGACCATGGATGCTGAGATGTACTGAGCCAGGTACACTGTAATTGTGCAGGGGCCGAGTGTGGTACTTACAAGATCTGTTTCCGTGCTATGGTCGGATCTACCGTTGCGGTCCCTGGAGCAGTGCGTCGTTGTGATAGTCAGTGGAGCACAGGCAGTGTGGCACGTCTTTCCACAGGCTGGGGACAGAGGAGGGTCAAGGGTGGATTACAGCACATATGTAATGTATACAACTACAACAGAGGAGGGTCAAGGGTGTAATTACAGCACATATTTAATGTATACAACTACAACAGAGGAGGGTCAAGGGTGTAATTACAGTACATACATCATGTACACAACAACTATAACAGAGGAGGGTCAAGGGTGTAATTACAGCACATATTTAATGTATACAACTACAACAGAGGAGGGTCAAGGGTGTAATTACAGTACATACATCATGTACACAACAACTATAACAGAGGAGGGTCAAGGGTGTAATTACAGTACATACATCATGTACACAACAACTATAACAGAGGAGGGTCAAGGGTGTAATTACAGCACATATTTAATGTATACAACTACAACAGAGGAGGGTCAAGGGTGTAATTACAGTACATACATCATGTACACAACTATAACAGAGGAGGGTCACCGGTGTAGTTACAGCACATACACAACACCTATATCATTTTAACGATGCTTAACCATATATATATATATATATATATATATATATATATATATATATATATATATATATATATATATCATATGTATTCATATCTATTAAACACACATATACATAAATATTTCAAGGGAATGAGCAACATATTCCAGCCTCCATCTACCGCCCCCTCAAAAACACATCAACATCTGCTAGCTCAAATTTCATGACATTAAAAAAATTGAATCTTGATTGGCAGAAAGACGCAACCAGCAACCTTTCAATTACAAAACAGCTGAACTAGTCCACCCCCTCCCCACCCCCACATAACAACAACCGCCATCACGCCCACAAGCAACCAACAAGTTCCAGCTACAATTTTTGGACGCACGTGAAAGCAAGTCTTCAGAAAACATGTAGCTTTGTTTTCTTTTTGTTTCGCTTATCACACGTTTTTATTTTTTAACAGAACATAGTTCAGCAACTAGTTCGCAGTATAAGAAACATGTAAGCTTTTTATTTTGTTTCGCTTATCACATGTTTTATTTTTTAACAGAACAAAAATCAACAGTAAGGCCAGTACATGAAACACTGCTGTGTAGGAAAAAAACACAATGCCAAATATTCGACCCGAGTTTTGACAAAAACACAATGCTAATGTTGGTCCAAATTTTGACAAAAACACAAAGCTAATGTCGGTTAGAGTTTTGACAAAAACACAATGCTAATGTTGGTTAGAGTTTTGACAAAAACACAATGCTAATGTTGGTTATAGTTTTGAGAAAAACACAATGCTAATGTTGGTTAGAGTTTTGACAAAAACACAATGCTAATGTTGGTTAGAGTTTTGACAAAAACATAATGCAAATGTCGGTCCGAGTTTTGACAAAAACACGAGTTTTGGTCTTCAACAATTCCCAAAGCACCGACAATAAAATATGTAAACGCATTAAACTCCTACGTCACGGACTACAGTTTTAATAACTGACAGTGACAAGAAAAGCTACTTTTATTTTCACTCAACCAGCCGTCACAAATTTGGGAGATAGTTTTTGAAATAAATTTCGGGGTACGAGAAAAACAAAACAACAATTATGATATTTCAGATGGTTCCCTATGTACGCTGGACGATAAGGGACGTCGTGATTTGGGTTTATACAAGGAACAGAGCAAACTATAACTAAGAAATAAAACAAATAGATCAATACATCAGAATATTAATTTTAGTAAAAGTTTTTTTAGATTTTACTTAAAAGACGAGGTCAATTTTAAAACGAGAGCTTGGATGAAATTCCACCGAAACCACTCTAAGAACGTTCCACTTATTAAAACAGTAAAGATTCAGGTAGTGTTTTTGTCATGATGGTATAGTTGATGTCTAACATCCCTCCCTGGATGGGAAAATATTTCACATGATATTAGGCTTTTTTATTTGTCCACGTGGGTTTCTGTGAGTTAGATCTACTAGACCACTGGTGGATCTGTCAGAACTGTAAGACCACTGGTGGATCTGTCAGAACTGTAAGACCACTGGTGGATTCTGTCACAACTGTAAGACCACTGGTGGATTCTTCTCTCACAACTGTAAGACCATTGGCGTATCCGCCACTGTGTGAACCAGTAGCCCACAGGTAGAACCGCCTCTGGTGTATAAACCACGTCAAATAACCCCCACTTTCCCCTCTGTTGTACTCTCCAGTTTCTTCTAAATGTCTAAGCCCGTATCTCCTTGCTCCTGCCCAGCAGAGACAATCGATTTTGTGCCCGACCTCATTCGTACGGTCGATGACTCGCTATTTTAAGGACTATTGATAAGATATAATTATGGAAAAGGGTAACGATTTTTTGAAAACTGCTTTAAAAAATACTGTAAAACCCCTTTTTTTAAAAAATTCAGCCGAACTGAAATATACGTGGGGTCTTTAGTGTTTTATATTCATCATGCAATGCCGAATACAAATTTAAAAAAAAATCCATTGCAACTTTTTTTACTTTTTGCCAATTGCAGATAAAATTACAAATCGATCAACACTTGAAGTGTGAGGGTTTGAGAGCTTTATGACGGTGCAGAACAATTTTAAAGTAAAAATATGGAGAGTGGCATTAAAAAATAAAATAAAACAAGAAGAGGGGTGGGGGAAAAAGATAACGTGTACAAAACGAAAATGGCAATATTTTTTTTAACCCACCAGAAAATATGATATGTTAAATAGAAATGAAAGTTGAAATATTAACTTCAGTTGAGAGTTTAAACACAGTATTTTTTTTTTCAAAAAAATGAAAACGAAATTTATCCGCAGCCTAGTACAGATGCACCAGTTTTTTTTTTCTTTTCAGCCGGTGAATTTAAAAAACAAAACGACACATAAACGTAAGTGGCGACAGTTAGGCAACGGTTAATTCAGAACAGATAATATCCCAAGCTACCCCTCCCCCATCATTAGCTGGGGCAGGGCAGGAGGGGTGGGGGGACATCCAAGAACATTCACTCTAATGTCGACAAGAGAGGTGATTGCCCCTGGTATCAAATGGACGGTTCGAGTTGTGCTGTCTCAGCGGTTTCTTAGGCTTGCTGGGAATAGCGAGCTGAGAGGAGATAACGGATGAGGCTGCTCGGTGGAGGCCCGGGGGGAGAGGCGCTGGGGATTTGAGGGGTGGGGACATGATATTAAAAAGGTGGGGGTAGCGAAAAATGGGTGGTGTAAAGAGGATATGAAATGGGGAGGGGGGAGGTTAGGGAGATAAGGAGGGCAAATGGTGGGTAGTAAGGAGGGCAAATGGTGGGAAGTAAGGAGGGCAAGGTGAGAGTAAAGGAGGGCAAATGGTGGGAAGTAAGGAGGGCAAGGTGAGAGTAAAGGAGGGCAAATGGTGGGAGGTAAGGAGGGCAAATGGTGAGAAGTAAGGAGGGCAAATGGTGGGAGGTAAGGAGGGCAAGGTGAGAGTAAAGGAGGGCAAATGGTGGGAAGTAAGGAGGGCAAGGTGAGAGTAAAGGAGGGCAAATGGTGGAGGTAAGGAGGGCAAATGGTGAGAAGTAAGGAGGGCAAATGGTGGGAGGTAAGGAGGGCAAGGTGAGAGTAAAGGAGGGCAAATGGTGGGAAGTAAGGAGGGCAAGGTGAGAGTAAAGGAGGGCAAATGGTGGGAAGTAAGGAGGGCAAGGTGAGAGTAAAGGAGGGCAAATGGTGGGAGGTAAGGAGGGCAAATGGTGGGAAGTAAGGAGGGCAAATGGTGGGAAGTAAGGAGGGCAAGGTGGGAGTAAAGGAGGGCAAATGTTGGGAAGTAAGGAGGGCAAATGTTGGGAGGTAAGGAGGGCAAGGTGGTTGGTAAGGAGGGCAAATGGTGGTTGGTAAGGAGGGCAAATGGTTGGTAAGGAGGGCAAGGTGGTTGGTAAGGAGGGCAAGGTGGTTGGTAAGGAGGGCAAGGTGGTTGGTAAGGAGGGCAAATGGTGGGAGGTAAGGAGGGCAAATGGTGGGAGGTAAGGAGGGCAAATGGTGGTCCAGAGAAGAGGACAATAAAACTCGCCATGGGTCTGAGCTTGCTAACCGACATAGAACCCACTCTGCCATACGCCAAAACTCGCCATGGGTCTGAGCTCGCAAACCGACATAGAACTCACTCTGCCACACAATAAAACTCGCCATGGGTATATACTGAAGTGAAGGTAGTAGTAGCTTTATTTAACCATCACTGTCCTTACCTTCACATATCTTGCCTGGGTTCGTTTTGCCCCATATAAAATCTTTACCTGAAAATAAATTAAAGTCAAAACATAAGTGCGAATACAAAGTACTAAGAATACATTAGGATAAAGACCTTTCTAAAATGTTTAAGTTTAAACTATATAAAAACATTATTTGGTAGAAGCTCTTCCATCCACACACCAACGTAAAAAATAGTAAGCTAATAATTAAATATTTTATTTTAAATTATTTATATTCTATCTATCCTTAAACTGCATGTTAGTATATCATTTTAATGTGTCCGTCACTAAATGTATGGTGTACCTAAATAAGAATTAATAGTTTTGATAGGTGTAGAGACTAGGGATCAGGTTCAATGAAAATACAAATAAAAACGATAAAATTCCTTAAAGATTAACAGCATTCACATATTAATTGTGCCGGTCCCATAGATAATAGTCAAGTTATGTTTATGCATGAAAGATATATGGGTACGGCTGATCAACAGCGGTCAAGCGACATCGTTAGTACCAGCCGACGTGACCGACGTCATAGTACACTAGTCAGCCCACAAGAAAACCTTGGAGCATGTGAAGGATCACCAACTTACTGGGGAGATATCGGAAGTTCAATAAAATCTTCAAGTATACGTGCCAACCTTAACGTCGCCAGATATGGTCTGATCGACAGAGGGGAAAAAAACACCTGCGGTAATAAACGGTAGTTGCTGCAAACTTTCACGTCGCCGAATATCGCCTGATCGCCAAAGGGGAAAAACCCGATAGACTCATATAATTAATGCTAACTAATTAACGCTATACAATGCCACAACAAAGATATTTGGACAGCATTACTATAACTAACGCTATACAAAGCCACAACAAAGATATTTGGACAGCATTGCTATAACTAACGCTATACAAAGCCACAACACATAATTGGACAGTTTTATTAAAACTAATGTAATTGACGCTATACATAGCCACAATAAAAACATTTTGACAGCATTACTAAAACTAATGTAATTGTCGCTCTACAAAGTAACAACAAAAACAATCGGACAGCATTACTAAAAGGAGTGTAACTGACCCTATACAAAGCCACAACACAAAAATGTAGCATTGCTAAAACCATACATGTCTTCTATAACAATACAGACTGCAAGATGGATATTCCTTGATGTTTGCCATCAGATCCAGGACCTATATGAGAAGTGACTGAGTGCAAACATAGCCTTAAAAACTATTCTTATGACCCTCGATCATCTCTATATTTTAAGCTTCCTGAGTATATAGGCCTACAACGTAATTGCTGTTTTACCAGGTAATTGGCCTAAGTACCTCTGCAGTCATGGATGACAATTTATTTTCTAGCCTCGGCATACAGAATATCAAAACCATGTTCAGCAGATTTTATTCCGCCCAACTTAAGCCAGGGTATCCATCAGAGCTGAGCGGGCTCAGTGACATCCTAGAACCAATCCCGGATGCAACTCACGACCTCTCCACCAAGTTTTTTGTGTGTTATGTTTTTATATTTGCATGTAGAGTGACAAGTCGTTTGAACAACCTGCGGTCCACACATTAGAATCCGTGTCTTTTTACATGCTTTTGAAGCACCAGGTACAGACGGATGTTCAAATAGTTTAAAATAGCTTAACAACGAAAGTATTAATCAAGATAGTGTTGTGTGTTGGAGTGTCTGCAAAGAGTCACGGTTTAAACGTAGAACTACAGATAATATCAAGGTTTACAGGTGTTACTGCAGGTACTATCAAGGTTTACATGTGTTACTGCAGGTAACATCATGGCTTAGAGGTGTTATTGCAGGTAACATCATGGCTTAGAAGTGTTACTGGGGGTAACATCATGGCTTAGAGGTGTTACTGCGGGTAACATCATGGCTTAGAGGTGTTACTGCGGGTAACATCATGGCTTAGAGGTGTTACTGCGGGTAACATCATGGCTTAGAGGTGTTACTGCGGGTAACATCATGGCTTAGCGGTGTTACTGCAGGTAACATCATGGCTTAGCGGTGTTACTGTAGGTAACATCAAGGCTTAGGTGTTACTGCAGGTAACATCATGGCTTAGAGGTGTTACTGCAGGTAACATCATGGCTTAGAGGTGTTACTGCGGGTAACATCATGGCTTAGAGGTGTTACAGCAAATAAACTCAAGGCTTACGGGTGTTACTGAAGATAATATCAAGGTTAACAGGTGTTGCTGAATGTAATCTCAAGGCTTACAGGTGTTACTGCAGGTATTATTAAGGCTTAGAGGTGTTACCCAAGATTTCACCGGGTAAGAAAGGAAGCTTGGCTGCATTGTTGTCGCCTTACAGGGAGGGTGTGAGAAATTTTTGGGAGACGAAATTCGACTTTCAAAAAAATTAAATACTTGTGCGCAAAGTAACACTAACATGACGGACCACAACGGTCATGATTGAATCATGTCAAACTGGTAGACATATTGAATGTGATAACTGATACGGCTTCAGGGTACCACGTCAACGTGACACAACGTACCACGTCAACGTGACACACAACATACCACGTCAACGTGACACAACGTACCACGTCAACGTGACACACAACGTACCACGTCAACGTGACACTGGCACAACGTACCACGTCAACGTGACACTGGCACAACGTACCACGTCAACGTGACACTGGCACAACGTACCACGTCAACGTGACACTGGCACAACGTACCACGTCAACGTGACACTGGCACAACGTACCACGTCAACGTGACACTGGCACAACGTACCACGTCAACGTGACACTGGCACAACGTACCACGTCAACGTGACACTGGCACAACGTACCACGTCAACGTGACACTGGCACAACGTACCACGTCAACGTGACACTGGCACAACGTACCACGTCAACGTGACACACAACATAGCACGCCAATGTGACATTGACACCACGTACCACGTCAACGTTACACTGACACAACGTACCATGTCAACGTGACACTGACACAACGTACCACGTCAACGTGACACAACGTACGTCAACGTGACACACAATATACCACGCCAATGTGACATTAACACCACGTACCACGTCAACGTGACACTGGCACAACGTACCACGGACACAACGTATCCCATAAACGTGACACCACGTCAATGTGACACTGACACAACGTATCAATAACGAGACACTGACACTAGACACCCACGTCCACGTGACAAAGCCATGGCACATGCCACGTCAACGTGACTCCCAGACAATGTGCTACACCTGGCACAAAAGCCATGAGTCCACAACCGAGACAAGCTGTCTGGCATAAAAACACCCGCTCCACAGACCAGAACGGCAGTTATAAAAAAAAAACCAAATCCATGCTGTCGAATATTTAAAGCATGTTCAAAATGAAAACGTTGAATAATTAATGAAAGCCGTATGAAATTTATTCAAGCGCTTCTCAAAGCAAAGCAAGAAATGTCAGATAAATCTACTTGAACAACTTGAATGCGGAGGAGATGAATTAGTCGTGTGCATGCGTGTGACAGCGTTACAAATGCTGAACTAAGGAACAAGCGACGTGAATCCTGGTTGTATGACGCATAAGGTCAGTGGGCCGACGCTGGTATAGGCTTACGCTGGCGGTACCCAGACAGCGGCCCGCGGGCCAGGTAGATGACATTTTCTAGTCGGCCCGCGGGCCTGTGGCGGTACGCTGGCATTTTCTTTAGGTTATCAAAGTAGTATTTTAACTAAGTCTAGAAGAGGATAAAGAATGAAAAGAATGAAAACATGACAGAGTCGTGTGAGCTTGTTGCAACTATTCTGTAGCAATTCTAGTTTCTTAGTTCGTGAGTGTTTAAAAGCACAATGCTAAATATAATATGGCCGCGAGATAACATAATCATTTTATATTAATACAAAAATAATAATAAACCTGGTTTAAGAAAATTAAAGATTATCTGTACGGTTTTCTATTGCTGTAATTGCTTCATATAATTATTACTGTAAATTGTCTTTGACGAGCAGCTAATTAAAAAATATTTCGTAACTAGTTTTCAATTTGATAATTATGTTATAGAGACAGTCCACACACTCAAGAAACCCACGACAGAGCGATTGCCCAATTTTTGCATGTCACTACCACGATAATAAAGCCGCTGAATAACACACAATTTTAGCTGGAGGATTTAAAAAAAGAAAACAATTAGTGAAATAAATAGCGAGCAATCGTCGAGCAGTTTACACAAACGCTCTCCGTCATTACAAAATACACGCGGACAAATTAACTGTACCCTAATCAGAGACGTCTGGGTGGCCGACGACAAGGACGGAGGGCCGGGGTAGACGACTAATGTAGAGACAATGAAAGCATTCGCTGGGAAGGACAGATCCATCAACTCGCAGACCAGACAAATTGACTTTGTGCATTAGGGTGGTTGGGGGGCTAGACAACCCAACCGGTGGTCTAATGGTGCAATTAGTGCAATTTCCACGACATCCGCCCGGACGCGGTGCATTTAGTGAGCCGGTTCTAATTTTAAGTGTGTTAGTGTGCGTATGTCTGCGTGTATGTGAGTGCGTCTGTCTTCGTGTAGAGGTGCGTCTGTGTGTATGGGTGCGTATGTCTCTGTGTGGGTGTGTGTGTGTGTGTGTGTGTGCGTGCGTATGTGTGTGTGCTATAACGTTTGCCAAACGTCAGTTAAAATAATTATTACCTATTAACCCTGATTACTCGCAGCACTAATTAACTGATCTCTGGATTTGATGTCTAGCATCTAACTTAGATAAAATCCACCCGTGCAACCAAAATGTCAGCCAGTGCTTACAGCGGGCCGAACGGTGTACAAATTGTGGACTAGATTGGAAACAAGACATATATCAAGTGACACACATCAAGTATAAGCTTCTCATAGAGCGGGCCAAACGGTGTACAAATTGTGGACTAGATTGGAAACAAGACATACAAGACATACATCAAGTGAAGGCCTCTATTATCTACACAGATCAGCTCGTGTGACTACCACTATGTCGTAAAACAGCTAAAATCCACGTGAGAACAGGTGGAGTAATGTGTCAGCTT